CAGCATAATATTCTCAAACAGTGAGTGTTATTTCATAAACTGGGACTATTTAATGGTAAAGTGTGAGAAACTAAAAGTTCTCAGATGAAATTATTCACTCCAAATATCAGTCACTAACAAGATAGAAATACTCTATTAAAGATGATAGTTGTCACTGGAACTGTTGGAAATCAAATGTATATGCAATTTAAATGTAAATAGGGCACATACTTTGATCCTGTCCATAAATACAGACCTTATAAAAAAACATGTCACTCAGTTTAAAGAAAACATGCTAGATTTGGCAATGCTGAAAGCATCCAACGATTGGACTTCGGGCTTTCTACAGTCCATTAATTTTGAATGTCCTTTGGTGGGTGTGGCAATTAAATTATTTGAAATTATAACAGAATTTATGATATGTCCTCTCAGGAATAAGAAATTGGGAAGAATCACAATAATTTTATTGGCAGAGGACCTCTGTGGAGTATTGAAGAATGTGACTGCCACTTTGAAGATGGTCTACTTTTAGGGGTTATTCTGTTTACTCCTAACAATTTGGTAATCACATATATATTGTAATATCATCTGAATTTGAAAAAAATCTTATTTATCATGTCTTGCTTCTTTCTATATCACTTCTCCTTTTTACATTTCTATTAACTTATTTTTTTCCAGAAGATCTGAATTTTACTGAGAATTTAGAAACGTGCATTTAAAAATCACCTGGGCAATCACAATTATGATTATATATAAAATAATTTCAATAACAATAGGTATCATAATGAGAGGTGACAATGTGCTAGCAGCCTTCACTTTCAGCGCCTCCTTGGCCTCAGTGCCCATTCTGGCAGCACTTGAGGAGCCCTTCAGCCCACCACTGCACTGTGGGAGCCCCTCTCCGGACTGGCCGAGGCCATAGCCAGCTCTCTCTGCTTACCAGGAGGTGTGGAGGGAGAGGTGCGGGTGGGAGCCAGGGCTGGTGTGGTGCTCTGGGCCAGCACGAGTTCCGGGTGGGTTCCTGCACTCAGAGCTGCTGGCCGGCGCCAGTGAGGGGCTTAGCACCCTGACCAGCAGCTGCGGAGGGTGCCGGGCATCCCCCAGCAGTGCTGGCCCCCTGGGGCTGTATTTGAATTCTCCAGGGGCCTCAGCTGCCTCCCTATGGGGCAGGGCTGGGGACCTGCAGCCCACCATGCCCGAGCCTCTCCCCCATTGTAGGCTCCTGCACAGCCCAAGCCTCCGCAATGAGTGCAGCCCCCTGCTCCACCGTGCCAGGTCCCATCAACTGCCCAAGGGCTGAGGAGTGCGGGGGCACAGCGCTGGACTGATGGGTAGCTCTGCCTGTGGCCCAGTGTGTCATCCACTAGGTGAAGCCAGTTGGGCTCCTGAGTTGGGTGGGGACTTGGAGAACTTTTATGTCTAGCTGGAGGATTGTATATGCATCTGTCAGCACTCTGTGTCTAGCTCCGGGTTTGTGGATGCACCAATCAGCACACTGTATGTAGCTAATCTGGTGGGTACTTGGAGAACCTTTATGTCTAGCTAAAGGATTGCAAATACACCAGTCAGCACTCTGTGTCTAGGTCAAGGTTTGTAAACACACCAATCAGCACCCCGTGTCTAGCTCAAGGTTTGTAAATGCACCAATCAGTGTTCTGTGTCTAGTTAATCTGGTGAGGACTTGGAGAACTTTTATGTCTAGCTAGAATATTGTAAATGCACCAGTCAGCACACTGTCAAAACAGACCAATCGGCTCTCTGTAAAATGGACCAATCAGCAGAATGTGGGTGGGGTCAGATAAGGGAATAAAAGCAGGCTGCGGGAGCCAGCAGGGGCAATCCACTTTAGACTCTTTTAGGAATGTGGAAGTTTTGTTCTTTTGCTCTTTTCAATAGATTTTGCTGCTGCTCTGTCTTTGGGTCCGCACTGTCTTTATTAGCAATGATACCCACCTGGACGGTCTGCAGCTTCACTCCTGAAACCAGTGGGACCACGAACCCACCAGAAGGAAAAAACTCTGAACATGTGCGAACATCAGAAGGAACAAACTCTGGACACACCATCTTTAAGAACCCTAACATTCTCCGCGAGGGTTCAAGGCTTCATTCTTGAAGTTGGTGAGACCTAGAACCCATCAATTCTGAACACAATTGTATCATCATTAGTTCTCCAAGAAAAAGCTTGTTTCTTCGTTGAATGTAAACTGTTGGTATTAGGATTATGTGTTTTTAATAGAAAATAGTCTTGTAACCTTAGCCTTTGTTTTTCTTAGCGACTAATCAGTATTCTACAACAAAGGTTTCAATCGATCATACTGCGCTTGTGGGCAAGGAAAGAATATAGATGAGAACAGGTCTTGGTAAAGTGAAATCATCCTTTTACTTTCTACTAATAATTTCTTTCATAAGTTTGTAAGACAGCATTGTGGGTCCCAGTCACCTGCCATGAAACTTAAAGTGTTGGTGAAAATTACAATGAGGACCGAACTGTGAGTATGGAGAACTTTAAATGGAACTAAAAATGTATAATAATACCACTACTTGAAGGGGATGTATTGATGTATTGTGCTTTCACATCGTAAAATCACAGAGAAATACATTAATATGTGCTATTCTTCTTGAGTAATGTTAATATTACAATTTAAGTAAAAAAATAGGATGTATTCATTATGACATTTATGAGATATTGGTAATATTTTAATAATATATGACTTGTATATTTACGATGTTAACAAAATCCTTTGCTTAAAAGGAATATATTCTGATACCCCTGAAAATACCACTTTTGACAAAGTAAAGTTCAATAGCAATACAATAAAATGGCATATTGATATTTAATGGTGTTATTTTAATTTGTAAGGTTATGCTAAAATGAACAAATATGAATAAATAATGAACATTCTATTTCCAAATTTTGCTACTCTTTTAGTATTACCAATTCATATGCATTTTAGAAAAAGTAATATAAAATTTATTATTTAAAAATTATTTCTTACTGAGGTGAAATTTATATATCTCATCTGCAGAGAGCTTAGAGTGTTGATTTTGGTATGTTTTGATAAATATATAAACTCATGTAATCAGCACCTCAATCACGATTTCGGGTGTTTACAAAGTCCCAGAAAGCATCTTCATGCCCCTGCTGGTCAACTCCCATGGCCCAAAGGCAACCGCAGCTTATTTCTATCACCGTGCATTTGTTTCACTTGTTCTTATCTTCTTTTCATTAGCATCACCAACTTAAGACAATACTTTGAAAGTCATTCCTGTGGGTGCATTTATCAGGATTCCTGAGTACTGTTCCACCATCTGCTCTGCTATTATTTCTAGATACTCTCCTACTTAGATATTTTGGGTCAACCCAATTTTTAAAAAAGTTTATAAATATAGCTGTTATGAACAGTCTCAAGCAAGTCTTTTGGTGGTACTGTGTTTTTATTTTTATTTATTTATTTTTAAGACTGAATCTCGCTCTGTCACCTGGCTGGAATGCAGTAGCATGATCTCGGCTCACTGCTACCTCTGCCTCCCGGATTCAAGCAATTCTCCTGCCTCAGCCTCCTGAGTAGCTGGGAATACGGGTGCCCGCCACCAGGCCTGGCTAATTTTTTGTATTTTAGTAGAGACGGGGTTTCACCATGTTGTTCAGGATGATCTTGATCTTCTGACCTCATGATCTGCCCACCTCAGCCTCCCAAAGTGCTGGGATTACAGACTTGAGCACTCACACCTGGCCTTTTTTTTTTTAAGATTAGTACCTAGAAATGGAATTTCAAGTTCATAAGGTAAATATATGTTTAACTTTAGAAGAAACTGCCAGTTTTCTACAGTCATTATACTAAACTACAATTCCGCCAGCAGGGGCAGAGTTCCTTTTGCTCTGCATTCGCAAAAACTTTTTGGGATTTTAGACTTTTTTCATCCATACCAGTGAGTGTGGAATAGTGCATCTACAGGTAGCTTTTTTGATGGGAAATTATTAGAGCACCTTTCTGAGTTAACATGGCTTAACATAATGGCCAGCTGCTAGCATGTTATCAAGCTGTATTATATCCCATTTGTTTATAAAGTATAAATTTATACATGCACTTCAGAATATGTAATAAATGCTTTATAAATATTTCAAATCGAAACAATTCAAAAATATACATGAAGAATAAATTTCAAGAAGACATTTCAGAATACACATGCAAAAACTAATAAAATGAAGTAGAAGCAATCATAATCTGATTTTAAGGATGTTTCTATGAAGTGTGGCTTTGATAGCCCTGAATTGTAGAATAAATCTGAATTAAGTCCAGGCATGGTGGCTCATGCCTGTAACCCCAGCACTTTGGGAGGCCGAAGTGGGTGGATCACTTGAGGTCAGGAGTTTGAGATCAACCTGGCCAATGTGGTGAAACCCTGAATCTATTAAAAATACAAAAATTAGCCAGGCCTAGTGGCACACGCCTGTTGTCCCAGCTACCAGGGAAGCTGAGGTGGGAGAATTGCTTGAACCCAGGAGCAGAGGTTGCAGTGGGCTGAGACTGCACCACTGTACTCCAGTCTGGGCAACACAGCGTGATTTCATCTCAATAAATAAATAAATATTCTGAATTAAGAACAATTTTCCATTTGAAATAGAAAATTCAAAATCAGCCTGTATCTGACAATTCGGCATTCCTAGCAGAATATCCTTAGTCCTGCAGAATTGCCCTGGACAAAAGTTGATGGACACCAAAATTGAAGCATTGACAGATGTAGTGCACTAAACTTGAGGTTGAGATATGAGGTACTATGTCTAGGAGGACTTATGTGAACCATGAGTGCGGCACAGGGCACAGACTAATGCCAATTCTGAGTAACTCACTCCTTTTTCAGGAATGAGTGCAGAGGAAAATAAATGGACTTTTCAGGCTTTGCCATCTATTACAGAAAAACAAAAGTAGTATTGTTACTGAAACACAAGGGATTCAGTCTAGGGCCTGCTGCTCGCTTCACAGAAAGCCATTGACTGAGGTCATGAGTATTGGCAAGGAAGGATTTAACCGGGTGCTGCAGCCAAGAAGATGGGAGCTCAGCCTCAAATCCATCTCCATGACCAAGTAAAACTGCAGGCTTATACAGCTGGGAAGATGTGTAAGAAATGTGTAAGAAAACAGGAACTGGGGAGGGGCAGGGAAGCAATCATGAGGAGTGAGAGGCCTGGCATCTCATTGTCTGGATGTGGTGATCTGGTGAGTTTCAGTTCTTTGTTATTTTTTGAGAAGCTTGAAGGTGTTTGCCTGAGGAAGCAAATCAGATAAAACAAATATAAGTTTCCAGCTTTAAGACCAGAGGGTCAATTTCTATGCTTATCCAAAAGAACTTACCTATGGGACTACTGAGTTGGTTTCAGTATTATCTTTAAGATTCAGAAAAGTAACTATATCTAGAATATATTTACTAGAAGAAGAAGTAAAAGAAGAAGAGGAAGTGGGGGAAAAGGAGGACAAGGAAAGAATGAGAAGGGGAGGATAGGAAAGGGGGAACGGAGAAGGGAGAGGGAGAAAGGTTCAGAAATTACCTGCTCGGAATTCCACAAACTCTAAAAAGAAACATCAAGAGAAACGTAAGAACTATCTGAGATATAACAGTGATTGTTTGACTTGCCAGTTAAAAAAAGAAGGCACCACAGGGGAGAAAAAAAGGGAAAGTGAAAATAAAAACAATTATTGCACATAGCGAAATAACAGAACTGCTCATGCAAACATTTAGTGGCTTACCAATTCACTCAGAGTAAATGCCAAGATATGCACTATGCCTTTTTTTTCAGAGTATTTGTACTATTGTATTTATTCATTTAATTAATTTATTTATTTATTTATTTATTTTTATTATACTTTAAGTTCTAGGGTACATGTGCACAACATGCAGGTTTGATACATAGGTATACATGTGCCATATTGGTTTGCTGCACCCATCAACTCATCATTTACATTAGGTATTTCTCCTGAAGTTATGCCTCCCACAGCCCCCACCCACCAACAGGCCTTAGCGTGTGACGTTCCTCTCCCTGTGTCCATGTGTTTTCATTGTTTAATTCCTACCTATGAGTGAGAACATGCAGTATTTGGTTTTCTGTCTTTGTGATAGTTTGCTGAGAATGATGGTTTCCAGCTTCATCCATGTCCCTGAAAAGGACATCAACTCATCCTTTTTTATGGCTGCATAGTATTCCATGGTGTATATGTGCCACATTTTTCTTAATCCGGTCTATCATTGATGGACATTTGGGTTGGTTCCAAGTCTTTGCTATTGTGAATAGCGCCGCAATAAACATACATGTATATGCACTATGTCTTACTGAAGATTTGGTCCCTTATTACCTCTCTGATCTCATTTCCTAATAATCTATTTTTTCCTGGTTTGCTAAGTAGCTCTTGCCTCAGGGCCTTTGCATGTGCCCTTGACTCTGCCTCAAATGCTGTTTTTGCCAAAACATCCAGCTGCTGGTTTCCTCCCAATTTCCAATCTTTACTCAGAAGCTTTTCTTAATGAAGTGCTTCTTTGTCATCTTTTCTAAAAGTAACAGGCATCCCGTACTCACACCAGCACTTTAAATCTCCTTCTTATATTTTTCTTTCAGTGGTTGCTAATACACATTATGTTTTATATATACTTATATTTTTTATTGTTTGACTCACCTACTGGGCCGCAATCTCGATGACAGTGATTTTTATCTTCAGTCTCTGGAGGAATACCTGGCACACATAGGTCCTCGTTAAGTAATTATGAATAAATAAATAATTATAATATAAGGTACCTCAACATAAATATCAAGAACTAGGGTCAATTAATTCACTTAGTGTAGGGTTTCTAAATTCAGATTTTCCCTTTAACCCACATTCCTTTTTTGTTGACACACATATTATTTTTTAAAGGCTTATTGAGCTGTGTTTCTTATCCAAGATGGTGCCATCCAGCCGCCATCCAGCTGCTCTTGTTAGAAGTGGTTTGGTAATAATTCTAAGCAACAAAATTCCTGGGCTCTGATTACCTTCCCTTCACTTTAAAACAGTTCCAGAATCATTGAGAGATTTGTGCACTCTAAAAAAGCTTTGAGAATCCAAATTTAAACCAGGTCCTATGTCTACCATTAAAAGCTCTAAGAATATGTCCTAATTTTCTAATGATATTTTATATTTTAAGACATCAAAAGCTTGGATTTATGGGCAGTATACTAACAATGTTTAGTAGTCAACTATAAAGCAGTTAACTACGTTTGGAATGCATCTTTTCTTCTCTCTTTTATTTTCCTCCCTCAAACCAACTCTGTCGGCTTCCTTTATAAAACAGTGTCATAACTCATAAAAATCTAAAGTGTTTGGCCTGAAGTTGAATGTCCACACTCCAGGGGAAAGAAAGTCAAAGAAAAAGACTGCCTATCAGCCACAACTACTATTTATAAAAACCACTGTTCTCTTTCAGACAGCAGAAATGTATAAGTAGGTAAAAAATTTCTTAAACCAAAGTGTTTACAAAATAATAAAAATAGGTATTATAGTTCAAAAATTTCATTTAAATATCCAGTTATCTAATTATTTGAATTTTTCAAAAGTTATTTTAAGAGCATCATTTGAGTAACTAGCCTCCACTGTTTTATTCCTTAGAATAAGGTTAATTGCTTCTCAGAGAACATAATCTTATAGTAATAAATTGCAACTCACCGTAGTGTTTTTTCTTTCTCGCTGTCTCTCTCACACACATACATAGACTCACAAACACAAGACACTAGAATAAGTTCTATAGTATTTTCTTAGTGTAAGCCTCAAAACTTATTCTTAAGCCAATATAAAACTATGGTATGTGTCCTTCTGTGTTATATCTCCTAGGAATTATCTAGTGCAAAATCGTTGCTTGTGGTATGTAAGTATCAATTAGGACAGAATCATTTTCAAATACCATAAAGACCTAATATAACATAGCTTAAACAATACAGAGAATGTGTTACCTCAGGAAACAAGACAAGACCAGAGGTAGCAGGGGGCTTTATGTATGGATCAACTTGGTCTCCAGCAGCTCAGTTTCTCTGCTATTTTCTTGTCTGATGCACTTTGTTCCAATGACATCTTTTCAGGATGCTTTCCCTAGTGGTGATAAAAGGCTGCAGGGGTTTCAAGCCTTATCCCCTGTATTAGTCCATTTTTACACTGCTATAAAAATACTCCCTTAGACTGGGTAATTTATAAACAAAAAGGTTTAATTAACTCACAGTTCTGCATGGCTGGGGAGGCCTCAGGAAAATTACAGTCATGGGGGGAAGGCGAAGGGGAAGGGGAAGCAAGGCACGTCTTCACAAGGCAGCAGGGGAGAGAGACAGAGAGCAAGAGAGAGCAAGGGGGAGCTGACAAACACTTTCAAACCATCAGATCTCATGACAACTCACTGTCACGAGAACAGCATGGGGACACCGCCCCCATGATCCAATCACCTCCCACCAGGCCTCTCCCTCCACATGTGGGGATTTTAACTTGAGATGAGATTTAGGTGGGGACACAGAGCCAAACCATATCACCCTTGCACACCGCAGCATTTAGAAGAGAAAGTTTCCTTTCCCTTAACCATCAAAGAAAAATCCTCTATCTTACTCTGATTGGACCATCTGGTTCACATGCCCATTCTGGAACCAGTTATGATCAACAGATCAGGCTATCAGGGGCCCAAATGACTATTACTAAAAGGGAAGGGGCGCAACAAATGCAAGTTTCTTAATGATTGACAGTCATAAATAAAGCAGATAGAGGGTAATTCAAAGAAGTATAGCACAAGTCCCTATCTCCAAAAGACCTAAAATCTCGTGTGGTTTCAATTGCAAATGAAAACACACAAAAATTGGAGCAGGCAAAATTCTAAACATTTGGGTATTGTCATAATGCGATGAGAGTTCAAAGAAGAGAGAGGTCAGGGTGGACTGCAGCAGGCATAGTATGCTTCTCACTTATTTATTTGTTCGTTTGTTTTGAGACAGGGTCTCACTCTGTTGCCCAGCCGTGGAGTGTAGTGGCACAGCCATGGCTGACTGCAGCCTTGAACTCCTCACCTCAAGAGATCATCTTGCCTCAGCCTCCTGAATAGCCAGGACCACAGGCACATTCCACCCCACCTGGTTAATTGTAAAATAAGTTTTTATAGAGAAGGAATCTCCTGTGTTTTCCAAGCTGGTCTCAAATCCCTGGCCTCAAGTGATTATCCTACCTCTGCCTTCTGAAGCACTGGAATTACCAGCATGGTCATACTTCGTAAAGAGTAAACATGATTCATATGAAAATAGGCAGCTTTCAGCAGACGGAAACACCGTTCTTGACCACAACATCGAGATGGGAATTAGGAAAGGAAAAGATGAGAAAAGGTGAAGGTGAGAACCACTAGGATAGCAGATCAAGGTGGATGAGCAACAGGGAGGAGCCTGGGCAGATTAAACGGGTCCAGATAATTGAGCATATTGAAAGACCAGCAAAGATGTCAGATTGTATACTTGGTGTAAGCAATAGCATCATTGCCAAACGGTCAACAAAATAATGCTATCTCTATTGCTCTTACCTTATGGAAGAATAATTTGGGAATATGCATATTTTGTACAATTGTTTTTTAAACAGTGGGTGTATATGTGTGTGTGTATGTATATATGTACATACACACACTTATATTCATTCCAAAACACTGAGAATGCAGTATATTAAATTATTTTTATACAACTTAACAGCATTTATTGATCCAGATAGAAAATTTGTAAGCTACATGCTGAGTATGATGATTAAGTATCTAAGCCAAATTATAAATTACTTTTTCCATGAAAATCAAATATATATATATATATGCTATGTTTTCTTCTAAAATGCATATAAAACAGCTGTTATAATCATAGAACGTAGAGTCTTTCATAACCTTTTTTTTTTGCCATGGCACATTATAATAAAAGAGTTGTATTTCAATTTAGCAAGCTACCTAAAAAACAGTATTTTCTAAGAGTGACCAAGGCCCATTCCAGACCCTCCGTCATATATGCTGAAATTGTATTATTAAAAATGGCTTACATAGACTTCAAGAAGATGTTTGTTTTTTCAAAACAAAATCTATCTAGAGTATTGGAGTTCAGAGAATCAACAGTTGTAAATGGAACTTATAAAATACATAGTTCTATACCCTTATTAAGATTAAAAAATTGAGTTGCAGAACAGATGTGCTTGTTAAAAATAGATCAGTTAAATACTCAGAACCTACTCTCAAGTTTTAAACTCAAAAGCTCTTTGCTGTTTCCGTGCTACCATTCTGTGCATTGGATAACAAATGTTGATTTAAGTGAATTTCAGTGAGATAAGAGTTCACACCATCTACTCCAACTTTTACTGAGAAAAAACTTGTTTTTGACTTAAACATTTTGTACATAATTCCATAAAGCTACAGAACATATGAATTGTGTCTAGAAGTTAAAACAGTTAGTAAGAGGGTTGAAATTCAGCATCCAACACTGGAAAAGCTCATTAGGAGACCACACACCATGAGAATCATTGATGTTTCTTCCTCAAACACCAGGACACAAGCCTGTGGTATTTCCAAAAGTTGTTAGGGAAAATACTACATCCAAATTCAGCTAGTCTTGGTACAGGTAGTTCCACAAATAGTGACAGTCATTTATTAATAATAAAGCAGTGAAAAGACAAAATGTCTTTCTACAAACACCAGATTTTAATCTGAAAAAACACCCCAAAATCAATAGTCAAATTGCTATACAAGAGATACGACCTATAAAGGCTTTAATTTCTTTTTATTATTTGTATTACTTTAGAAATATTCTATACATGTGATAAGAACTCCTTTTGACATAGACAGGGAATCAGAAACAAAGTATTTTCAGAAACACTCTCTACTAGAATACAGGTTGGAGAAAGATACATATGCATCCATGCAGAGAGATGACTTTGCACATAATATAATTCATTTTTATAATGTCTTATTCATAATTAATTGGTTTATATTCCAGTTTATTACAACAATCCTGAAAGATAAACTAAGAATATACAATTGTTCACTGCAGAGATGGAAGAGTCTGAGTCTTAAAGTGACCAATTCGTGACACTATTGCTAGAAAATGAAGAACACAGGAATAGAATCCAACTCTTTTGGCTTAAAACTATTTCCAAAATAGTGCATTCCTTCCAACCACAGCCAATGCTCACTTAGATAATTATATTTTGTCAGAACAGATTTTTAAGCTACAGTTAGAGAAAAATATTGGTGTTCTCTGTGTGATGTTTTAATTTCACTGGTTACTGCATTTGTGTAATTATGCATTAAGGAGAAATTAAATTTGAAAAACAAAAGTAAAAGCAAGAAACAAATTGAGTGACACAAGAGTTAACAAATAGTATGTGTAAAATTAATGCTTAAAAACCACTTTCCAAGTGATGGTTTATGTTTTGCCTTCTAAAATCTGTTCTAAGTTCATTCCAACTTATTTTCCATTTTGGTTCACAGCTTTTCAGAGAGAACTATTAAAACACCACTGTAAAAGCCAAGGCCATTTTTTCCTCTCATTAGTAATTTCAAATGTTCCTCATGTGAAATTTTTTGTCTGGTCTGAAAAACAAAAGATTAAAAAATCTTGCCTAGTCAGGAACAGAAAGTGTAAAAAAATTCTAAATGTATTGTACTTCTATATATATATAACCAATTTAACTTGAAGTATTTTAAAATAGGAATTTATTTAATTATAGTGGTCCAAACCACATTATTTAGAGTGTTGTATAAATATTAAGGTGCCTCTGAAGTCAGTACATTTAAGTTTAGATTTTTGCTTTATACTGTTTCTAAGACATCAGAGTTTAGGTATGTGGATGTGGTGGTAGTTAGACATACTTTGTGTTTATAGCTAGTCTTAACAGAGTACAAATAGATTAAATAGCTTAAGATACAAAACATGTCCAGAATCAGTTCAACAGAATCTCCCTATAAATCTATAAATCATAAAAAGTTCTAAATGTTATTATAGATGTGTAAATGTGTATAAAATTCTTCCCTAATATTGATTCTAGTTAGCTGAATCTTCTTTTTAAAGGTATAAACTATATAACTAGCTTAGAAAGCCATTAAAAACAAAGTATTTAACAGAGATTTTACATAATATAAATATTAGTGAAATTTTATGTATCAAAAAGAAATATTGGCCAGAACTCTGGCTTAATTCCATTTTCATGTTATATACTTAAATAAAAGAAAATCGGCAAAAAGTAATTAAAAGAAACACAATAATTATGTTTTAAATTTTTGACACTATTTTCACCTAAATATATGAAGTGCTTTTGCAAGTTGAACTGGTATAGATAACTCGTTAACTAGTGACCATTTAAAATTAAATCAGATAAAAATACAACTCACATTTTCAATAGAAGGTCTGAAAACCAAATCTGAAAAATCTGGAGTCCAGTGACTCAGCAAATATTTTGGTTGAAAGCAAATTTACCTTCAAGACAAAATTACACACAGTAAATTTGGATCTGTTAAACTAATTCCCCTTTACCTGCAAGTAAGACAAACATTTATAAGGAAAAAATATGCTTGTCTCAACAAGGTTAAGAAATTAATATGTCTTATTGCAAAGATTCCATTAAAGAGGAACTGATTGGTTTCCTGATACTCCTATTGGTGAGCAAGAATTAAAATGTTTAAGTAGCTTTTCCATTCTTAAAACCCTCTAGGTTTCCTTTCGAATAGGAAACATAGGAAATCTGAATATGACAGCATCTTAAAGGTCAATGAGTACAACTCCTCCATAAAGTGGGAAGTCCTACAGTCTACTAGACAATGATCTGTTTTCCTTTTAATTTTCTCCCTGAGCTGCTCATCTCCATATCCCTGTCCTCATTTTTTTTCAGAGGTTTGGAGATCTTAGTTACCATTTGCCCAGGTAATCTCTACCTAATTACCCACAATGTTACCAAAACACGAGGAGCACAGTCTAGGTCCTACTGCTCGCTGCACAGAAAGACAATGACTGAGATGATGAGCATCGCCAAGGAAGAAGCTTTAATCCGGTGCTGCAGCCAAGAAGATGGGAGCTCAGGTCTCAAATTCATCTGCCCGATTGACTAAAACTAAGAGTTTACACAGCAGGGAAGAAATGTGACAATGTGTAAGAAAACAGGAACTAGGAAGGGTCAAGGAAGTCATCATAATGAATGAGGGGTCCAGCATCTCATTATCTGGATGTGGTGATCTGGTGAGTTTCAGTTCTTTGAAACCTTTTTGAGGGCCTGAAGGGCATTTCCTGAGGAAGGAACTCAGATAAAACAAGTGTAAGGTTCAAGCTTTGACATAAGAAGGGTCAATTTCTATGTTTATCTAAAAAAACTGTCTATGAGACTATGAGTCGGATTTAATAACAGCACACAAAACTGAATTCAGTATTTCCAATGTGTTCACATTGTGCACAGGACAGTATTACCACCCTAAAATATCATTTCATATTTTTGTGGCATAGAATCATAATTGTATTTTTAAATAGATGTGCCTCATCAGAATGAGCTTATCTTTTGTTAATCTCTCCCATCCTATATCTGTTTAGTTAAATTTAAAGAAAAATACAGGGTTATCAATTTATTCTAACGAGTTCTTCTTGTTTGCATATCAAATACAGGTTTTATAACTATGCTGTCTTTTTCTCATCCAAGTTAAAACAGTCAAGACCGAAAAGGGTACAAACCTGGAGGTTCTGCTCCAGATTGTATGTATCTTTGATCATTCTTTAATTCATTCAATAAATATTTATTTTGGGTGTGAAAAACTTTCATAGCTGTTTTTTGCAGCAACGTGAAAAGCAGACTAATAACTTAAGGAGTTTATGGTCTAGTAACGTTAGCGAATAATGCCTCCTCAACTATAACATACATTATTTCTAGAGAATGTGTCATATCTGTCAATATAATAGACACAATCTCTTGTATACCACATTGCTAATGCTACTAAAGGAGAAGGAGTTTGGTTCAACAGGACACGTTCCCACTCAAGGTCAGATCGTGCTCATTTCTGTCGTAAGTTTCTCAAGTTCTCTGATGACATTTTCTAATTTTTTAAAATAAAAAGCAATGTAAATGTTATGTTTACATGTTCTTGGTTTGAGTACTGGGGCATGTCTTGTAACCTCCCACATACATCGACCACCATCAATCTTTCTTTGTGGTACTGTTAATAGTTACTAACTGCACTGCTAGATGCTGCCGTGTCACCATAACTCAGCCTGTGACTTTTGTTGAGAACTCCTATGCGTGCTAGTCATTTCACGCATTCTCTACAGTTGTGGTTTCAGAAGTTCTCTTTTCACTTTTAACCTCACATACCCACCACCTTTGTCTCTCCCAGCGTTTCCGTGGGGATAATAGGAGCCATAAATTAGTAAGTTTTCTTTCTTTCTTTTTTTTTTTTTTTTTGAGACAGCGTTTCGCTGTTGTTGCCCAGACTCTAGTGCAATGCCATGATCTTGGCTTACTGCAACCTGCATCTCCCGGGTTCAAGATATTCTCCTGCCTCAGTCTCCCAAGTAGCTGGGATTACAGGCACCCGCTACCACACCTGGCTAATTTTGTATTTTTAGTAGAGACAGAGTTTCTCCATGTTGGTCAGGCTCATCTCAAACTCCCAGCCTCGGGTGATCCACCTGCCTCGGCCTCCCAAAGTGCTGGGATTACAGGCATGAGCCACGGGGTCTGGCCAAAGAAAGAAGTTTTTGTAACCAACTCTATAAACCTTCCTGAATCCGTGCTCATTGCATCTTCTGTTCTTTCTTATTACAATGGAAGAGGGGTGCTCTCCTCTATTTTACGCCAATTTCCTCACCAGTTCCTGATCCTTTCTTTCCTTTGGGTGACATTGTTCTGCTTTCCTCTTTGTGAGTCCTATATTTTCCATCTTGCTCTGCACACGAATTCTTTTCTTAAACGAGCTCAAGTTGCTCCATGTACATTTTTCTTTTGTGAAATCGCTTCTATCTTACCTGTCCTCTCATTGTCACACTGAACTTTCTTTTACTCCCTCTTCTGCAACCCTGGGCAGTCTGACTTCCGTCCATGACTTCATAAAGCTGCTGTACTACAGCCCTTAGTGCCCTCCTTGACATTAAAAAAGTAAACAAGCTCCATTTTCTTTTTTGCTAATAACTCTAATTTGTTCATCTAACAATCTGACCTTTCTTAAACATACTTTATCATCCAAGCCACAGTGCAGTTTTGGTTTTTGTCCTAATAATGTGTCCCCTTTTCCCAGCCTGCTTGGTGGTGACCCCTTCCTGAACCAAACTGTCGTTAGTGGTGCCCTTAAGCTTCACTTCCCACTCTGCATTCTCTGTGTACCATCTTTAAAACCTATATTTCTTGACAGAACATTTATGTCATGAGTTCATCTGTCTCCTCAACACCTTTAGGTGTCATAGCTGACTGCTGCTGGAGTCTGCCATCTGGAAGTCACATGGCAACTTCAAACTCAATGTGTTCAACACTGAGGTCATTATCTCACCTCTGCTGCTTCCTCTGTCACATGCCCCACACAGTTGCTCTTCCTCTTCTCCTCCAGTGAAAATAAGAGTCCGTTTGAAAAATTGGAACATGTGTGACTCCTGTGCAATTCCCCCATCCAAGCAGGAATTAAATTCCCCATATACAAACGAGCATTACATTGTGTCCATTTTACATCATAAATACTTTTTAAATTATATTTAGCAGTTCCAGATCATCAGCTTGTGTCTGGAATTGGTGGGTTCTTGGTCTCGCTGACTTCAAGAATGGAAACGTGGCCCCTCGTGGAATGTTACAATTCTTAAAGATGGTGTGTCTGGAGTGCGTTCCTTCAGACGTGTCTGCTGTTTCTTCCTCCTAGTGGGTTCATGGTCTCGGTGACTTCAGGACCGAAACTGCAGACCTTCAAGGTGAGTGTTACAGCTCTTAAAAGCAGTATGGACCCAAAGAGTGAACAGCAACAAAATTTATTGCAAAGAGCAAAAGACAAAATCCTCCACAAAGCATAAAGGGTCCTCAGCAAGTGGCTGCCGCTGGCTCTGGCAGCCTGCTTTTATTCCCTTAACTGACCCCACCCACATCCTGCTGATTGGTCCATTTTACAGAGAGCTGATTGGTCCATTTTGACAGGGTGTTGACTGGTGCATTTACAAACCTTGAGCTAGACACAGAATTCTGATTGGTGCGTTTACAATCCTTTAGCTAGACACAAAAGTTCTCCCAGTCCCCACTGGATTAGCTAGACACAGAGCACTGATTGGTGCATTTACAAACCTTGACCTAGACACAGAGTGCTGATTGGTGCATTTACAATCCTCCAGCTAGACATAAAAGTTCTCCAAGTCCCCACCCAACTCAGGAGCCCAGTTGGCTTCAACCCTAGTGGATCCCCTGCCGGGTGCAGGTGGAACTGCCCGCCAGTCCCATGCCATGTGCCTACACTCCTCAGCCCTTGGGTGGTTGATGGTGGAACCAGGCTCCACGGAGTAGGGGGCAGTGCCCGTTGGGAAGGCTCAGACGATGCTGGAGCCCATGGGTCGGGGGGTGGGATCTCAGGCATGGTGGGCTGCAGATACCATGTCCTGCCCCACGGGGAGGTGACTGAGGCCCAGTGAGAATTCTAGCATGGCACGGGTTGGCCCGCAGTGCTGGGGGACCCAGCATACCCATGACAGCTGCTGGCCTGGGTGCTAAGCCCCTCACTGCCTGGGACTGGCAGCGCCAGCCAGCCGCTCTGAGTGTGGGGCCCACCGAGCCCGTGCCCACCCGGAACTCACACTGGCCCTGGTTCCCACCCACGCCTCTCCCTCCACACCTCCCCACAAGCAGAGGGAGCTGACTCTGGCCTGGGCCAGCCCAGAGAGGGGCTCCCACCATGCAGTGGAAGGCTGACGGGCTCCTCAAGCATGGCCAGAGTGGATGCTGAGGCCTAGGAGGAACGGAGAACAAGAGCGTTATCACCTCTCAAAATCTTACCTATTTTTTGCAACAACCTTTTAATTAGCCCTTGTACCTCCAATCTTTGTCTTTTTTCTTTCTTTACAATAATGCTGAGGGTTTCATAAAATGTGAACCTGATTTTACCAATTGTCTGCCTAAGTTTTCCATGAGTTTCCACTGAGTGGGATAAAATTCGAATTTCCTGATGTGACTTTATAAAACCAAAAATGAGAGGCCAGGCATGGTGGCTCAGCCTGTAATCCCAGCATTTTTGGAGGCCAAGGCAGGCGGATCATGAAGTCAAGAGATCGAGACCATCATGGCTGACATGGTGAAATCCACCTCTACTAAATATACAAAAAATTAACCAGACATGGTGGCAGGTGCCTGTAGTCCCAGCTACTTGGGAGGCTGAGGCCGGAGAATGGCGTGAACCTGGGAGGCAGAGCTTGCAGTGAGCCAAGACCATGCCACTGCATTCCAGCCTGGGCGACAGAGCAAGACTCCATCTCAAAAAATAAAAATAAAAAAATGAAGTAAGAAATATTAGAATTAGTTTAGACAAGGAAATAATGAACTTAGGGAACTCCAAACTTTAAAGAACATTTACCTTTACTTGTCCTCTGACCCCATTATCAAAATAGTCCCACAAAATAATCTTATATTAGTTAATTATACTATGGAAGGGATTTACATCAATCTTAAAGCTTTCTCAAAGATGATTGCTTTTTAAGCCATCTCTACTCTCATGATGACACGAGGATAAGGGTTTTCTTTCACGTGAAGTCTACCATTGTTCATGCAATCGTATTACTTTCTTGCAGCTTTGCTTTAGAAATAGAACATAGCTAAACTTTGGACCCTTAAGTAATTGCCTGGAGGCATTACAGGTCTATAATTTCAATACTGAAAAGCTCTTTAAATCATAAATATCCTAATATATTTGTGGCAAATTATGGAAGCAAAACCTATCCTGCTCTGACATTAAGCTATACTTGCTTTTAATTTATCACACCTAGTTTGAATATTCATGCATTTCACTGTATAAATATTAATGTATTTGAATGTGGGGTGCTGACCCAGACATAATACATGATATGAACACACCATTACCTTTCTAAAATATGGAAACCTCCAAAATCGAAAAGGTTTTGGTCTCAAGGGCATTGGATTAGGAATTCTGAGCTTGTACTAAACTTAATATAGCAAATCAAAGACTATCAAACTTCAGATTTGTGAGATTTATTTATCCAAGAAGAATGTAGGTCTCTCTCTTTTTTTTTTAATTAGACAGAGTCTTGCTCTGTCACCCAGGCTGGAGTGCGGTGGCGCGATCTCAGCTCACTGCAACCTCCACCTCCCAGGTTCAAGTGATTCTCCTGCCTCAGCTTCCCAAGTAGCACCTCCATGCCCAGCTAATTTTTGTATTTTTAGTTAAGACAGAGTTTCACCATGTTGGCCAGGCTGGTCTTGAACTCCTGACCTCAGGTGATCTGCCCACCTTGGCCTCCCAAAGTGCTGGGATTACAGGCATGAGCCACTGTGTCCGGGCAGAAAGTAGATCTCTTGATTTCATATGAGATTCACTGAAAGAATGTGTTTAAAAGTGATTTTACATTTAGACAATAAGTTGATGCACACATTTTCAGAATTTCTATTTTGTCCAGTTGGGCTGACTTTAGTACCTTACAGGATCTAACTCTCTCCCAGTTTGTCTTAGCTTGGCAACGGTGACTCAGACAACTTAATGCCATAGTCACTGACTTAGTCAGCGAAAACCTTAGAAATCCTAATACAGTTTAATATTGTCACTGGAGTCCAGGTGATTCTGAACAATGATCTCTCCAAGTTTCTGGATTACCAAAGAGCAGTTATTTTGCAGCCTGGAAATCTCAGGCTCGGTGAGGGAAATTGATGCAGGTGGGGCAGATGCAATGTTCCTGGCATGCAGCTGGAATAACAAAGCCTCTGAAAAGTTCACCACCTCTCCACGTGTGTGGTATTTTAGGCATCAACACAGTTGCCTTCACAGTTGCTGCATTTCACTCACTACATATAAAATTGTATATCTTGGACCAACTTTACCCAGCACACACTTACTCTGCTCTGATGTTTACACAGCAGTTAGAAATTCCTGGGGTAATACCTTCTATC